GTGAGTTCATGATTTGCTTACTAAAAAACTGAAAACGTCGCAATGAATAATACTAAAATAATGTTGTGAATGTACTGAAACATATATCATGCTGTTGAAACACTTTCATAAACACATGTTACAACGTTATTGAACATGTGGTCTACTGAAACGCTAATGCACAAAGTGTGCACATGTTGAACTAAAGAGCTCTGAAACTAATTTGTATGGTGGAGAACAATTGATACATTCACATGTGATTCATTACAAAGGTCCAAGTGTCGTGAACTGATCTTTACTAAAACCACATTGCTTAATATCCTTTTTCTGAAACTGAAATCACGCGTCGATATTCCCAGACACATACTAAGAGAATAAGAACATTGTTTTTGTGCATAATGTAACTGACGCGTTAAAATAATAACGACATGTTGCAACAGTTTAAACAGACGTGTAATACTCAGCGTGCAACAAAATCTGAAATCATACTAGCCATGTATCTCATATTGTAAGCATATAGACTCACCGAATAACGTTTAACTAAAAGAAATTTAAAATTCAATAAAATAAAATATTGAAAAATCAAAATATATTATATTATTGATTAAACTTTAATTAATAAATAATTAAAAAATAAGTTCGTACAGTACGATATTACTATGATATATGTTTTTAAATACCATATACCAACCAACTTTGTATAGTTGGATTAATGCTACCAACCGATTACAAACGACGCCAATTATATCAGTACCAATTAAATTGGTATAGTCAGTACATGAATTGGTTGGTTTGTCTTTAATCTTGATATAAATCTGACACCCGTAGGGGGTGTTCGGGATTGCTTATTTGAAACAACTTATATTTTTCTACAAAATCACTTATCAACTTATTATAAGTTAGAAGAGTTTAACTTATTCAAAAACTTATTATTACCGGATTGACACCGACATAAGTTGTTTATCAAAACACTAAAAATTGTTTATTGCTGGTGTCACACCGAAATAAGTCAATAAATTGTTTTTATAAGCAATTCCAAATACCCCTTTAATAAAACTGACGTTTACCATTTTTAAGGAATAGTTTTTATTCTTAAAATATATGGATTTTTTTTATTAATTTGGAAAATAAATACAATTAATATTGTTGTGACAAAAATATTTAATCATATTTGGATTTAGAAACACACTTAAGAACGCTACTGAAATCAATAAAACATGGCTAAGCCATTTAACGGTGTTTTTAAATGCTAATTATTTATACTATATTATAAAGTATTTAATAAAAACTCTTAAAAATTATTTTTTATACATAAAGTACTGTTTATTGATGCGTATTACTTAAAATTCAAGATTACAGGTAAATAATGCATAATTACGACTTATTAAAGTTCCATACTTGAATTTATATAACTAACTGTAGATACACATAATCAAATACCGGATAAACATTTTATTTTAAATATAAAAAAATTTAAAATATAATTAGGATAATCACTTTGTTCTAACAAAATACTTAATTACTTCGTTATTAAACCTAAATTAAATTATCTATACTATATTATAAAGCATTTGACAAAAACTTTTAAAAACCATTCTTTATGCATGAAGTACTGTTTATCAATGCATATTACTTAAAATTTTAATATTACAAGTAAATTATGCATATGTACAACTTATTAAAGCTTCATTTTTGAATTCGTATAACTAACTGCTGATAAACATAATCAAATATAAGATAAACATATCATTTTAAATAAAAAAATCTAAAATATAATTAGAATAATCATTGAGTTCTAACATAATTATTATCTTTATAGAAATTATATTGTCAAGTCAAAAATAATTACTTCGTTATTAGACCTAAATTAAATTATAATAAAAAGTTAAATTAAAGAAATTGTATAAAAAAGAAAACTTTTAAATAGTTAATTTTATATTAATATCGGTATATCTTTTCAAAATTTTATAATATCTTCAGATTTATTTTTGTTCAAATATAAAAATAATATTTTTCTCAAAACCACATAAATCGTATTATATTAACAAAGACAAAAAATAAAACAAAATACCAAAAAGATGTATCTCATTGCATTGCGCGAGTACCTTTCTACTAATATAAAAATTGAATTAAAAAATTTACAAAACAAAATAAGAACTTCTAAATGATTAATTTAATATTAATATCGATATATATATATATATATTTTTTAAATTACAAGATATCTTCAAATTTATATTTTATTCAAAAACAAAAACATCATCTTTTTCTTAAAAGCACATAAAACCGTATTACAACAAAAAAATGAAACACTAAAATCGAGAGGTATCTCGCTGCATTGCGCAAGTATCCTTCTAATATTTTTAAAAGAACAAAAATGGGAAATTTTAAAAAAGAATGGTTGAATTCAGAAATAATTCATCCGATTTATTAAATTTGGTTACACATTTAATTGTATCATTAAATTATGTTTCATAAAGTGATGAATCATAAATTTTAAAAGACACATGTTTTGTTATTAAATTCTATTGCTGAAATTGTTCATTTATTTTAAGCAACAAAGTACAAATGTAAACCATGATTAAAAGAATTATATATATATATATATATATATATAATATATCAAACCACAACATGTTTTATATAAAACATGCTTCCAAAAACCCCAATAGGAGGGAGGATTAGTCGACTCACTCAGCGGCTGAGGCTAGCGAGGGCTTTGAGATCGAACCTAGAACATGTTTTATATTTGAGTAAAATCGTCTCATTCATTTGTCAACTGAGCTACATGTCAGAAAAAATAATATATGTTTTAAAAAAAGGACTTATGAGGATCTCTGTGAAAAAAATACTGCTTAAAAGCAAGCATATGTAAATTCATGATCCTTTTGTTGAATTGTCTGTTCTCCTTTGTTAAAACGGGGTTGTGGGATAACAATACAAGCATCGTCCTGTTAGGCAAAGATGCACTCTAGATGGCAAAGAAAAAAGTCGACTAGGGAAAAAGGGGCCATCATGTATTCACAAGTGAGGAACGGGATAGGGGTTTTAGCAACGACTTTTGTCGTTGCTAAAAACGTGTCGCCAACGCTCATTTATCTTGTAGTTTCGAAAATCACATATAAATTATAGACTTCTAAACAAAATACTTTTGACTAATTGTATATGTGTGTGTGTATAGGTGAATGATCATGTGAGAAAGAGAGTTAAAGTGAGAAGCGTGAGAAAAGATATGAACCTTTGACCACCTTTAATCTCAAACCCACCTATGAATTGCGCTTGATACGAAAATTGACGGGCCCCTAAATCTACCATTTACCAAGTCATATTTATCTTACTGAATGAACATGACAATGACCGAGAATCTTACATAATAAGAACGACGACAAGAATCGAGAATTTTACCGGACAAGTGAAGGTGACACCTCTTATCCGGTCAACGTTTACCGGGTAAATTGTCATATTCGATGTTGTTTTAATAGATTAGAATCTTACCCGATAAGATAATTGATAATACTGAATTTTACCAATAAAACGGAAATTGTTTAAATGGAAGGCCTAAATAACATGATCCAACTATGGGTGGACCATTGCCAACCATGATCTTAAAAAATACATCAACTAACATTGTATATGGTAATAATGATTATATAAATATAATTTAAATACTTAAAAAATACAATAATTTTGATTTTTTTTAATAAAATAATTAAAAAAAGATTGTTATTCATACTCCTCGTTCAATAAAGTTACCATTAAACCACAAAGATGGTGTTTGATTGGTTTGAGCTTGACTCCAAAAGTCAGTACCAGAAGGTCCCAGGTTCAAATCCAAGGAGAATTAAAAATCCCCTTGTGGCCACAGAGGTTCAAATACGGTGACTCCGAGCTATTTGCAAAGCAGGTGGTTGTTCTGAGATTAGTCGGCTCGCATAACGAGTTGGATATCCAGGTTAATGAAAAAAAAAACATACATGAAAATTTTCAAATCTTGATACGTAACTCCACAAGAAATATCAAGCCAGTGATATAAAATGCAAGTATATTTCATGGATTGATTACTGAAATACTGAAATATTAAATACAACAAACATATAAAATTACGTTGATTCATTTGATTATTTGAAATTTAAAAAATGTTTTTTTTTATTTTGATTTTAATTTTAAATCCATTTTTCTGGACGAACAAATAATCCAAAATTTAAGAATTCCAAATTTTGAGATTTTTTATCTTCTTATTAACAGTTTGTTCGTTTCATAGTAAATCCTGACTGCCCTGTCAAAGCAAAAAAATTCAGAAAAATTTATTTTCAACATTTTTAAGGTAAGCGTGGATTTCTAAGCCAACTTATATGCACTTGTTAATTTACAGGCGATCGTGAATGGCCTGGAGTCATTGCATGTGAATCTTCATGGCTACAAGAGATTTGACAACACCTAGATTCAAACGCAGGGTATATAATATTTTCCACTGTACCAGTACGCATATACATTACTGAAAAATATGTTAAAAGATGCTTCTACTAATTATTATAATTACGTTTTTTTTAATTATTTGGAAATAAAATCATATTTAAGAATACAACTATTTGAATCAACTATCTATTTCTTTATCTATCATGGTTACAGGTGAAGAATCGTGTAAGAAGAAAAATCATGGTAAGAAGTGTAAGAAAATACCTGAACTTTTAATTATCCATCAGTGAATTAAGCTTTAAAAGGAAATTGATCAAGTACATCTCATTAATGTTGACGTTCAATTAGAATTATTTAAAAGATAGATATTATTTTTTCACACTTCTCACAGCAACTTTCCTTTATCACTAAAACCCAACACTGTCGATATTATACGTATGTATATACATATAGATACATACATACATATAGAGTTACATATACATATACATATACATCTTTTGAAACTCATGGTATCATAGAAATTTCATCTAATTTGTCGGAATGTAAGGAAAACCTGTAGTCGACAAGGTTTAGGCTTTTCGGCGGAAGATAACTCCGTGTGTTTATTGTGTATATTATTTTCCATTCTCATCTTCTTACCGCCTTTCAGATCTCTCTCTATCCACACGAGTGTAATTTCAGATGCCTCCAAACTTTTACGATATCTGAAATCTTTGTGTATTTTGCTGTCATTATATTAAACAAAACCCATCGTCAAAACTCCATTTTTTTTCCTCCTTTTAGCCACCAATAGACTATCATTTCTTCTGTGAATATGGTTCTTCACTGATATAATAAAGATTAGTAGCGTTTTCTGAAGATTTCAACTGTTTTTGGAGTCATGGGTTGTTGTAATTCGTGTTTTTCGAAAGAACCCATATCAGACAAAGATAATGTTAACGCCAAGACTCACCGTCACTCGCCGTCGAACGGGAAAGGCGCTGCTTTCGCCGGAGATAACGGCGGCGTGCCGGTGTTCTCCGAATACTCACTGGCGGACTTGAAGGCTGCAACTAATACCTTCAGTTCCGAGTTTATTGTTTCTGAAAGTGGCGAAAAAGCTCCGAATGTTGTCTATAAAGGTCGGCTTCAGAATCGGAGGTGGATTGCTGTGAAAAAATTCTCGAAAATGGCGTGGCCTGATCCGAAACAGTTTGCGGTATGGTTGGATTTTTGTTTATTGGTTTGATTTTGAGCATTAGGGTTTACTGTTTACTTGAAGTTTAGGGTTTCCTGTTATGTGGTTCTGTTTGAATGGCATTATGTACTTTAATAGGTTTGGAAAACTGGTGGTTGCTATTATGATTGATTGCCCATTTGGGTGATATTTCTTGAAGTTTAGGGTTTATAGATTGGTGGGTTTATATAGGATAGTTTACAACTCAAATTCATTGCATTGATTTCAGATTTTCTTTTAAAACAACAAAGCTGTGTTGGACTACTGTTTTTGGTATTTTGGTGCAAACCAAGTTACCAACCATTGTTCTTGCTAAAAAAATGCTAAAAGAATAGTATTATGCAAGATGATGACTTAGGTTCGGGGAAAACCATAAAGAAAATGGAAAACTGAGGAATACACTGATAACCGTTCATATGAATGGTATCAAGTATGCACATGTGCATAAAAGTAATTGAAAATGTTCCATGGTTTCTATGCACATGTGCATGTGCATACCGGACAAATTACTTTTACATACATGTGCATATACTGGACAAATGAATGGTTATCTGAGTGATCCTCAATATTCTATTTTTTGTGGTTTTCTCCTTAACCCAACCCTATGCAAGATGACTTAGGTTCATGGGAAAACCGAGGAATACTCTGATAACCATTCATATGTAGGTATGCACATGGGCATAAAAGTAATTGAAAATGTTTCATGGTTCCTGTGCATGTGTGCATTTTATTTACATGTGGATACTGGACAAGCGAATGGTTACTAGGGTGTTCCTTAGTTTTCCATTTTTTTTTGATTTTCCTCTGAACCCAACCCTATGCAAGATATTAGCAATTTTGAACAAGTTATGTAGATGTAAATGCCAAAAAGACCATCCTACTTGGCACTTTCTTGTTCAAACTTGCCCATTCTTGCAGATTGTAGTATTTTCTTCACATTTTTGCAAGAATATTGGCTTATTTATGGTCTGAAAAGTTAAGAACTCTTTTCATTTAAAAAGTTGTCGCTTTGATGAGTAAAAAATGATAATCGTTAAATTCTTTGTGTTTCTTTTTGGCAAGGATGAAGCATGGGGAGTTGGAAAGTTGAGGCATAATAGGGTGGCTAATTTGATCGGATATTGCTGTGATGGGGACGAAAGGCTACTTGTTGCAGAATATATGCCCAATGATACTCTAGCCAAACATTTATTTCACTGTATGCCATCCTAACTAGAATTCTACTTTTACCTTTTCTTGATTCCTTTCGAAAATAATGTCTAGTTGTTAGCTTGAAGGTTTTGAGAAGTTGTATTGAATGTGCCCCATGGCTTTAGCCTAGGCGTTAAGGAGGTGGGGCATCCTTGTAGAATGAGTTGGAGGTCTGGGGTTCGACCCCAGGCACCACCACCTGCCCCTGGGACACAGTTTACCTGCTTTATGATGGTCGTAGGGGCGATACAGTTGGGGAACTCCAAAGGGTGGCATCATATTCATACAAGTCTGCGTACATACCTCACCCTGCTTTTGAGTGGGAAATGCTGGGTTCAAATGGGATGATTTGGTTTATTTAGCTACATAAACATGATCATTTGATCACCAGAAATGATAATTTCAGTTGAATATTTCTTGTTTTGACGTTCGTATGCTTGCATTCTGAATCTGTCATGGGCCTCAAATTCTCCAATATGACCTCTTTCACAGGGGAGAATCAAACCATTGAGTGGGCAATGCGTTTACGAGTTGCTCTATGTATTGCTGAGGCATTGGATTATTGTAGTACTGAAGGTCGTCCATTGTATCATGACTTGAATGCATACCGAGTTCTCTTTGATGAGGTGCTGTAGCTTTTCCCATTTATCCCATTTACTACGACTTGAATGCATACTGAGATAATATGATCCAGAAGATAAATCTTCATATATTCTTATGATCATTTTGTAGCTCGCTCGCCTCTTCTTTTATGTACTTGTTTTACAAGGCGGGGTTTTCACAGAAACAACCTCTCTACCCCTTGGGGTATATGTAGGGTCTGCATACATCTTACTCTCGCCCACCCGACCCCTGTGTGGGATTTACTGGGTCCGTTTGGTTTAGCTTGGGTTTTTCATGGAACAAATTGACAACTTGATTGGAAATTGTGACAGAATGGTGATCCGAGGCTTTCTTGTTTTGGCTTGATGAAAAATAGCAGAGATGGAAAAAGTTACAGCACAAATCTTGCATACACACCCCCTGAGTATCTAAGAAACGGTAATAATCCCTTGATCCATGATTTTTATAGTTTCAAGCCGATATATATACGTTCTTTTCTCAAAGTGAAGCCACCCTTCCCCCAAAAAAAAGAAAATTTGGTTTTATTTTGGCTTCGTTCTTTAGATCATGTTTGCTTGTGCATCTTGAAGTTAAATATATACTTGAACGTTAAAGCCAGGGGTCTCCACGGAAACAACCGTTCTACTCTATGGAGTAGAGGTCAGGTCTGCCTCCATCCTACCCCCGACCCCACCTCTGAGTGGGATATACTTGTTTGGTTTGATTATTGAAGGGAGTTTGTTGCAAATTGGGATTTGGGAAACGAGATGATGGTTTCACATCTTAACATAACGGAAATTTGTTGATCATGTTAGACGGTGTTCAATGAAATGAACAATGCCCATATAGCACCAGGTGCAAGAAGCTTTAAGATGATATTTGTTCTTATCATATAACACGCTTTAATGAAACGAACAAGACCCATTATGCATGACGTGCAAGAAGCTTTAGCTGACATTATTCTACTCTATAAAACACAGAAAAATTGTAAGAAGGCCTTTTCCCGTTAATAAATAGGTTTTAAAACTACCATGCGTAAATAGTAATTAGTATGACGCTTGTGGGTAGAATAGTGGCGTAAGATAAACCATATCCATATCAATTTCCGTTTTGACATCCATCGGTTCAAACGGTTCTATGCAAGAAACATTATTTTATCTTGTTAAATTATGTAGACACATTTGGCAGATAGAGTGATGTATGTTTTTCCTAACGTTATCCGTCAGAAGGTCATTTAACCAAACGAACCCTCTGGTGTTAAACACCATGCCGCCGTAAAATCTTGAAAAAGCACTAGAAAGTAAGTTTGTAAAAATGACTTCCATAGAAGGGCGTTTAAGTTAATGACCCGAATCACAATATAAAGGCTGCATAGAGAAACTAACATCCCAAAACCATAACAACTCCAAAGAGCTTTTGTGCACCGAGGTTGGTCTTCACTTTTCGAAATGCATTATAAGGTGTTCAACATAGGGTCATGACAACACGAGATTTCTTAAGATTTGATGGAGTTTGTGTAAATGGCTGACCGTTTGATGGTGATATTAGGTGTGACGTTGTCTGATAATTGTTCTTTTAATCTTATAGGGAGAGTTACACCTGAAAGCGTTAGTTTTAGCTTTGGGACTGTACTTTTGGATCTTCTGAGCGGAAAGCATATTCCCCCGAGCCATGTAAGTAATTCTGAACTTAGTTTTGTGTGTATATATAGGAGCAGATTCATTTGACAACCGTAGATATCTTGAGAACCATGAGAACCAACTAATCTTGATAATATCGTGATAGATATTCATCATGAATAATTCTTGAATAGTTGGTTCTCACGGTTCTCGAAGTGTTCATGGTTCCGAAATAAACTATATCCTTTCTACTTGCTGCAGGCACTTGAAATGATTCGAGGAAAAAACATTCTTCTGTTGATGGATTCACATTTGGAGGGTAACTTTTCAACCGAAGAAGCAACTGTCGTTTTTGATCTGGCTTCAAAATGCTTGCAGTATGAACCTAGGGAACGACCAAATACCAAGGATTTGGTCACGACTCTTGCTCCGTTGCAGAACAAACCCGATGTCAGTACCTACTCCCCTTCTTCCCTTTTACTTGACGGATTTCATCATGCAATTCCTTTATGCTCGTTAACCGTTGCATCCTTTCATGCACATTTGCTATCTTATTTAAAAACCAAACGTATGAATGAAACCAAACAAACCCAATATATAACCCGAATCCGACATCTACCTCAAATAGTAGAGCAATTGTTTTCTTGAAGACCTCCGATATTTTGTGGTGTTTAATTGTTTAGCTAAATACAACCCACGACAACGATAAATTGAAACCGTTGGCATTTTGTAGGTTCCGTCTTATCAGATGCTTGGGATCCCAAAACATGAAGAAGCACCAGCCACTCCGCCACACCCACTTTCTCCGATGGGTGACGCCTGTTCACGGATGGATCTGACGGCCATCCACCAGATATTAGTCATGACACATTATAAAGACGATGAAGGCACCAATGAGGTGATCTAATTTAACGTGGTTTTTCAGATTTCTGATATTATGTTTGTGTACTGATGATGATCGTTTCAGCTATCGTTCCAAGAATGGACCCAACAAATGAGGGATATGTTGGAGGCAAGGAAGCGCGGGGATCTCGCTTTCCGCGATAAAGATTTTAGAACCGCCATCGATTGTTATTCTCAGGTACTTGTTTCGGCTTTCTTTCTACCATAAACTTGGTGCCCTTTTAGTCCTTTTTTCACTATCGGCGAAGATTACAAGTTGTGAACTTTGAGAACATAATCAAGGCCATATTCGATAACCATAAGCTAGCTTATTTTCCGAGCTTATTGAAAAAGTCTAGTTTGTTATAAACTAGCTTATAAGCTTAGCAGCGTTTTAACAAGTTCTAGGATTTTTTCCCACTTTTTTCCAATTATGCCCTTATATTTTCCAATTAACTTATCCAACATGTCCTTTTAGGTCATTTTACATTGTTATTTAGCTTATCAGCTGCTCCAGCCTCCCAAAATAAGTATCTACATTTCTATTTTAGTTTGTATCAAAATATTGCTTTTTTTAATTCCAAACATGACTAGTTTATTAGATACTGGCTAGATTTTCAGTTCAACTAGTTTGTCAAACATACCCTTAAGAGCCATACGTGCTAGAAGGCTATGTTCAAAACCATGGACCTACTCTAGGAGGTCGAACCTCCATCAAACCCAACAACCAAAATTTATCGAACCCTTTTAAATCTCGTGATTCAAATCGCAGTTTGATGGTTCGACCGTTGACCCATAAAGGCATTTAATGTTTTCCAAGACTGAATTTTTGCTCGCTCAACATGCAGTTCATCGATGTCGGCACTATGATATCTCCTACAGTTTACGCAAGGCGTAGCCTCTGCCATCTCATGTGCGATCAACCAGATGCCGCTCTCCGAGACGCAATGCAAGCGCAATGCGTCTACCCAGATTGGTCTACCGCATTCTACATGCAGGCGGTCGCCCTTGCCAAACTCGACATGCACAAAGATGCAGTCGATATGCTGAACGAAGCTGCTGCACTCGAAGACAAAAAACGAGCCAAATGATTCCATTATTGTAAGAAAAATATCGATTGTTGTTATTGTTATTGTCGTAAAATAGTTGTGCCATAATGAGAGGAACATAATGAGAGGAATACGTTGGTTCGTGCGGTACAAACGGTCTATTTTTTTCTTCTTCAAATATCTCGATCCAGAATGTGTGGGGGAATCAAACATGTACATCAATTTGATCAAACTTGTGTTTACATAGAAAGTGTGAAATGTGAATCTAGGAAATGTAGAGTTCAGCCTTGCCGTCGATGAAAAGGCTCATGAATTCTTCACCATCGACTGTTTCTTTCTCGATAAGAAGTTGAGCGAGCTTGTGCAAGATGTCGATTTGTGTTGTAATGATGCTCGTTGCCCTCTCGTATGCTTTTTCAACAAGTTCCCTCACTTCAGCGTCCACTATATCGGCGGTCGCCATGGAATAATCTTTTTGGGATGACATCTGCATTTCGTTTCAAAATTAGATGCCGAAAAAAGTTTCAAGAAAGAGGGTTTGCTAAACGAAACCAAGCAAACCTAGTATATTCTACTTGAAACTGCAGTTTGGAGGTATGATATACGTAGTTCTGACCTCTACCCGGAAAAGGTTGCTAAAGCAAATAAAAAATATCCTACCCATATGTGGGGTTTCAGATGTATGCTTATCTGATCTTTACCCTAAAAGTAGAGCGTCTGTTTTTATGAACAGGAAGAAGGGTTACTATATATTATAGGGCTGACTTCTGCTTCAAAGAATAGAGCGACTGTTTCTTGAAAGACCCAAAAGAAAAGGGTTGCTAAAGAGCCACCTGAAGGTGGGGTCTGGGGTATATGATATAAACAGACTTGACCTCTGTCCCAAATAATATTTGCAGCTATTTTTGTGAATACTAGGAAAAAGTTGTTGCTATATATTACAAATCTTTTTTGTTACCTGCTGTCCCAAGAAGGGATTTCCACCACCACCACCACCAATCGCAATTTGACCGATCTTCTTGCTGAACCCGAACCTCTCCACCATCTGCCTTGCGACACGAGAAACTTGCATGAAGTCGTTTGACGCTCCTGTCGTCACATTGTCTTTTCCAAAAATAACCTCTTCGGCAACCCTGCAATGTAGATGCGACTTCTGATTAGTGAGACTGATCAATGTCAACCATTTCTTTTTATAACTGTGAGAGTCTGGGCCAACTTGGCCACACCTAGACTAATCCAATGGCGCTTTGAAGTTAACAGTCAGAAACTCGAACTGGTGACCATTGGGGAGCATACCTAAGGTCTTACCGGTTGAGCTACGCAAAAGGGTTAAAAGATTATACGCTAATGCAACCACAGGGCAGGGTGGGCCGGTTCAATCCAAACCCTTTTGCAAAAACATGTTTAACAGCTGTCCCAAGTACGTGAAGCAGGGTCTCGATTAAGGTCACGAGCTTATTAAGGTTTGAAGGAAAACGTGTTGTACCTTCCACCGAGTGCGACTGCCATTTGATTTTCAAGGTAGCTTCTGCTGTATAAACCAGACTCAAGCCTTTCTTCAGATGGTGCAAAAAACGTAAGACCACCGGCTTGACCACGAGGAATGATGGATATCTTTGCTACAGGATCATACTCTGGCATGAGGGCACCAACTAATGCATGCCCGGCCTCTGCAAATTCAACACATATAACAACATTTGAATCGGCATTCAGCTTAATTAACGTGTTCCATTCTTAGTAAAATGTCTAAAACGCCCTTTTCGTGTATCAGAATCATAAGATCAACAATTCATGTGATGGGCAAAAAATCAAATAAGAACCGCTTTTGAGAACCGTAAGAACTAATCCCAACACCAAAAATGAGTTTCATTTTAGGTCCGGATTCAAGATGGTATTATTGTTCATGTGTCAGCGTGTGTTTGTGTGTTCCGTATATGGAACGTATGGACATGTTCTGTTTCACATGTGAAACAACTCAGTCTGTTTCATATATAAAACAGCACTATATGTTTCAGAGTTGAAACCGGTTCTCATTTGGTTTGCCCTCGAGTGATGATGGGCAAATAGATAATTTTAGCATGAACATTTTCCAATCGCGGTTTCCATGGGATGGAAAAAGTAAAGAAAGAGTATATGTTTTGGTTACCATGATAAGCAACGAGCTTCTTTTTCTCTTCAGAGACGACGGCATTTTTCTTCTCTGGTCCAGCAATGATTCTCTCGAGAGCATCTGCTATCTCGTCCTTGCTTATTTCCTTGAGTTCACGTCTAGCGGCAAGAATGGCGGCTTCGTTCATCAAGTTTTGTAAATCAGCTCCGGTGAAACCTGGGGTTCTCCTAGCGATTTTATCGAAATCCACATCTTTTGCAAGTGCCTTTCCCCTTGAGTGCACCTGCCATATACAAGAAAGATTACACTCCATCACATAAAAACGTGCCATTCGACTGTACGCATAGTTTCATAAAAGTATTCGACTGTTAGCAAAACGTCTATAATATCTTTCAATAACGACAAACTACAAATAACCAAGCGAACCAGTAAATCCTACACGAAGTAGAGTCTGGAGAGATATACCGAGCTAGTTTGATTTGGATTCAAAAGAGAGATTTTAGTGGAATCTTGGCCACCAAATTAAATGATGGGAGCAAGTCTGCAAGTTATTTAAGTTTCAAAAGCTTGCCAAAAATGGAAACTTTGCATCTAACATGGCATCACAGACTTTGCAGCAGTTTCTATTGGAGATTGCATACAAAAATGGATAAACCTAAAAGTTCATAACAATTCAAGAAATTGGAATGCAGAATGATCAAACCTGAAGGATCCTGACTCTGCCAGCAACATCAGGCCGGTCAACAGTCACCTGCCTATCGAACCTCCCTGGTCTCAACAACGCTGAATCAAGAACATCCGGACGGTTAGTGGCAGCCAAAACAATAACACCAGAATTCCCGGAAAAACCGTCCATTTCTGTCAACAACTGATTAATGGTTTGTTCCCTTTCATCATTTCCACCACCAAGACCTGCACCTCTTTGCCTCCCAACTGCATCTATCTCATCTATAAACACAATGCAAGGTGCTTTGGATTTGGCCTTCTCAAACAAATCTCTAACACGAGAAGCACCAACACCCACAAACAATTCAACGAATTCAGAGGCGGCACATGAGAAAAACGGCACACCGGCTTCTCCGGCCACTGCTCGAGCTAAAAGGGTCTTTCCGGTTCCTGGTGGTCCAACCAAAAGACACCCTTTTGGGATCTTGGCTCCGAGAGCTGTATACTTATCAGGGTTTTTCAAGAAATCAACAACTTCTTGTAATTCTAACTTGGCTTGATCAGCTCCGGCTACGTCTGCAAACGAGACGCCGGTTTCAGGAACTTCCTGAAACTTGGATTTCGACCTGCCAAAATCCATTGGTCCACCGAGCCCTCCCGGCCCTCCAGGGCCACCTTGGGATCGGCGGAACAAGAAAAACAAACCGCCAAAAGCTAACAGTGGAAACAACAAGTTACCAATGAACCCAAACAAGCCATTACTAGCTTCCCCTTCTGACACAGATATGTCAACACCGTTCATTGCCAAGATGTCGATAAGATCAGGGTCATTTGGAACAGTCACGGAGGCTCTACGGCCGTCCACGGCGGTGAGCTGTAACACACCACCGTCTTTATTAAACCTAACCCTCTCAACTTTCCCTTTCTTGACGGCATTCAAGAATTCGCTGTATCTCCATTGACTACCTTCAGGAAGGTCCGAATTGGCTTGGGGTTTTGGTGCAGTTAGAACATTCGATTGGGAAAAAGGTAACGAACTGTTTGATGGGTTTTGTTTAATCAACTCAGCTTCAAGCGGGGCTTGTGGTGGTGGTGGTGGATTGGTGTCAGCTAGGGCTTGTGGTGCTGCAATTGAAGAAAAGAGTAAAGCAGCTAAAGTGGCCTTCGATTGAAAATCGAAATCTTTCGAAGAATTGGGCTTTTTGCTTAAAATTGATTGAGGGATTACAAACCTATTTCTCAACGATTTCTGGGTTTTGGGTGTTGGGGCTGAGAGCAAGACGTTTGAGCCAAAGAAATTGGAAGAAAGAATGGTGTTCGTGGCGGACGCCATTGATGAAGGTTTCGAGCTTTTTGAGTTGGGGTTTTTCTTGAAATCGATCAATCCAACTTATAAAGAGTGGGAAATCGTCTGAAAAGATTCAATGGGAACGGTTTTTCGATTGAATTTGAGGGGAGAAGGGGTTTGATTTTATGTGAAGGTTGTAGGAGTTTCATGCAGCAACCAAAGCCATAGGTTTCGAGTGATGGATTGGATTGCGTCTACGTGTTCTTATAATCACCCTGTTATCTCTACAGACTTTTTATGCCTTTGAAATGGAGCTTCATTTCTTAACAAAACACACACTTGGTGTCTACTTAACCAACACGTTTGAAGAAATTGTGGTTCTTAATTTGTTGGTAAATCTTCAATTTCATCAATGTTATTTGTCATTATTGAGTGCTTTTGGATTAAGAATGTATGGAGGTTTAACATGTAATTGAAAGAAACCGTACTGGTCTAGTTGATATAAGATTCTATTAACCTCATTCCTTATAGAGGCTAAACGGGTACAAATGCCTTGAGTATTGAGTCTTTTTTAGAGGTAGACATACATTCAGGGCCGACCCCTGCCACGTGCAGCCTGTGCGGTCGCACAGGGCATCAAAGCCTAAAGAGGCATCAAGTTGTCATCTATTACTAGTTTTGGGTTTAATAATTTGTGAATTAGACAACTGAACTTTAACTATAAAAAAAGACCCAAAGCTTATTAGTGATGAATACTGAATGCATATCGTGAACCGGTTAACACCTATCATTCCAACAACTCAATCTAATTTCGATTGTTCTTCAAAGTTTCGACTATTTCGATTTTCAAGGAATGGAGTTCTCTTTCCAGCTGATTAACGGTCATGAAATTAGATTCAAGAAATCAAAGATGAAAATCTCGAATGACTAATTTCTACTGTTGATTGAACTTACCGAGTTGTTGTGTGAGTCATATTATGATTTATGAATCTTAAATCTTTTCGCAAAAAAAACTTGACTTTCTATATAAAGCTCCCCCTAGAAGCTTACTGGATAAGTCACTTTCTATATTATTAAGCCATTACGAAACAGTCATGCATAGTTGAGCGAATAAGTTGTTAGTTCCATTAAGCTTATTAAGCTGCTAACAGATGCACCCTTAGCCTTTAGTCGTTAGACCTGTAACTTTTGAGTTTTACTTTTTGCTTACTATGACAGTAATTTGGATGTAATTTACTATTTTAGTTAAAAGCTAATTATAGTTTTCCTTGTCTTTTAAGTCCCATATATTGAATTTTTTTGTTGTTGCTAATTTCAATTTGGAAAAGAGAAAACTAGAAAAAAAAGGAAACACGATCTTAATCCAGGATTTATCCTTTTATCATTTTATATTTTGTATTCGGGGTTTTGGTTTTTATGTCCCCCACATTGTATTTTTTTATTATAATTAATAAAAATCAATATGAAGATGAGACACTTAGCTTGAATAGGTTCTAAAACTCTTTAAAAATCGCATGTTTCATTGTTTCTTTTGCTTAAAAAATAGGGCTTAGGGTCATTTTTTATTATTTTCGCACAGGACATCAAAAATCTTAGGATCGATCCTGCATACATTGGTTCTGATACTATGTGAGAATATATAGAACCTCATCATATTTCTTTTTTAAAAGAGACAGTATCAAAGTCTAGATGATTGAGACTTCAACATTAATAACCAATGCATTCTCGAGTTTTCAAACTTGAACAATATTATAGGTCCTTTAGTTGATGCATTCTCTAGTTTAAGGCATTGGTTGTAAGAGCTGGTTAATGACCAAAAGTCGGGTTAAGGTTAATATCAAGACCTGGTTAAGACCATATTAGGTTAAATCTCGAAATTCAAGTCCAAAATCCAATTAGACGTAAAAGAAAGGACGGGTCTAAACAAACCTCTAGGCAACTAGCCTATACTGTATCATGCCGGTTAGGTAAGATTAGACTTATAAGATGATATAAACGTTTCTTGTATTATGATATCTATACTATATTAAAAAACATTTGACAAGAACTTTTAAAAACTATTTTTCATGCATGAAGTACTGTATATTGATGCATATTACTTAAAATTCAAGATTACAAGTAAATTATGCATAAGTACAACTTATTAAAATTCCATGTTTGAATTCATGTAACTAACTGCGGATAAACATCTCATTTTAAAATCTAAAAAATCTAAAATATAATTAAGATAATTATCGAGTTCTAAAAAAATTAATTATTATTTTTATAAGAAAATTATATTATTAAACCAAATATAAATTACTTCGTTATTGAACCTAAATTAAATTATAATAGAAAAATTGAATTAAAAAATTACATAAAAAATAGGAATTTTAAATAGTTAATTTGATACTAATATCGATATATTTTTGTCAAAATTTTATGATATCTTCAAATTTATATTTTATTCAAAAATAAAAACATCATCACTTTTTCAAAATCATATAAGACCATATTATAACATCGACTGCGATAAAGAATAAAATGAAATATTAAAATCAAGATGTATCTCGCTGCATTGCGCGAGTACCCTTCTAGTAATATTATAACGTGAAACACAACAAGACATTGTTGGTTTCGAAGAGGAAATACTCGTGCGATTTAAAGATGTTCCATAAACTTCTTGTAACGCTAAAAACAAACTATCTCATGCGTAAAGCGAATTACTCAAATCTAAGGATATTCCAGTTATAACCACCGACCTTGTACATATGCAACTAGTCTAAATGCCTCGTTAAACATTAGTGGTGTTCAAAACGTACTCGATTATGTACCCTTATATTCCTATCTTGAGTTGAATATGGTCCAAGTGTCTTGGCGAACATCTTTAAAAGAACCCCTTTTCCTGTTTCTAGTCAAGAATACTAATTATGATATCTTGTATTTTTCTCTCGGTACAATTAGAGTTTTCATTGCCAGATTGGCATGAACGAAAGCATGAGTGTTGATTATGCTTGTTCTCGTTGAATTTGAAGCGTAAAAAGATAGAGTTTAACCATAAGGGTGGTGCCTGATTGGTTTGAGCTTGACTCTAAAGCTCAAAAGTATCAGAAGGTCCCAGGTTCAAATCCAAGGAGGAATAAAAATCCCCTTATAGCCACGGAGGTTCAAATGCGGTGACTCCGAGCTATCTGCAAAGCAGGTGGTCGTCCTGGGATTAGTCGGCTCGCATAGCGGTTGTATATCCAGGTTAATCAAAAAAATAATAAATAAATAAATAAATTACTTCGTTATTGAACCTAAATTAAATCATAATAAAAATATGATACTAATATCGATGAAAGTCATCTTGTAACTTCAAAACTTCATGATTATAAAGGTTTGCAAAAACGTCCGGATAATATTTTTTTTCCTCAATCACTGTAATAAAGTTTCAAAAGTTCATATTTTCATACCAATTTTGACCATGAACTTGCTTATCTTGTTAACATTTGATAACGTGAATGTCAAGTTATCAACCAATATATTCTTTTATCAGTAACCTGTTGACCTATCAGTACATTTTTTTCCCAATTAATTGAACATGATAACCTGGGATCCATGCTATCAAATATTACGAGATCAACAACTTACCAGTTAAAAAGGGTACAAAATTGAAAATTTTGAAGCCTTGTTATATTGATTGAGAAAAAAAAAACTATTTGTTACACAACTAAAACAAATTTCAATGCGTTTTTTCATTTGATTTGTCGATCGTTATGTTTCGACTCTCGATGTTGAACTGTATATACCAAATTTTATAAATATTATTTATTCTTATACAGTTTAAACTTTAACACATATTCTTCTTTGAGTGAAGGCCATTCCTAGTTCATGTGGTTTGTTTGACAAAAGTCCTTCAGACGTTTTTTTATTAAACTCCTGATACATGTGGTTTTAAAAACGCAGGTCTCAACCACAAGGGTGATGCCTGATTGGTTTGAGCTTGGCTCCAAAGGTCAAAAGTACCAGGAGGTCCCATGTTCAAATCTAATGAAGAATAAAAATCCTCTTGTGGCCACGGAGGTTCAAATGCGGTGACTCCGGGCTATCTGCAAAGCAGGTGGTCGTCCTGGGATTAGTCGGCTTGCATAGCGGGTTGAATATCTAGGTTAATAAAAAAACCGCAGGTCTAAGTCCCTCAACTAAACATAATTTGTTAACGCGATTAACTCATGGGGCATTTTGTCTTCTTATATCTCTTTTGTTTATTCCTCATTAAAAATATAGATAATATAATAATATATTATATTGTTACACTAATCTGTTAATACACACACAACGAAACCAAAAAAAGTCTAGAACAGACATCCCACCGTCTTTTGACCTCTCTTTCACTCCCTCTTCTTTGGCTTCCCTTGCCCTCCCGTAACTTGTCTTCTCCATAAAACTCCCCCACCTCACTGATACATGCTAAACAAGTGTAAACGCAGTGGGTTAGCAAAAGTCCACAGTGGACAACGCAAGTGTACACTGGTCACCATGATCGTCACTTCAGGTAATAATTTGGTAAGAACCAAGCTCGCATCCACAGGGACTAGGCAATCAAGACACTATTGTTTCCGTATTCCTTTTACAAGTTTCAATTAGAGAGGAAACAAATAAGTTGGTTGGTCTGTTTGGTGAAAATAACTTTGATAAAAGACTATGAATTACAGATAAGATATAGGTATGGCTTTTCCTCAAATTTCATGGTGAACATTTGATCAAGAATACCGTTCACTGTACTGTGTGGGAGTGGCACTCCTTTTCAACATGCCAAGTCACAGCAAGTACCAACACCTCTTGTCAAATTCTCGTATGTTAATTAACTTTACAATCTTGTCAGTGATGACCCATAATGAACCTTCTTAGGTTCGACGGAATATGCAAAGACAAACATTCTAAGTGTTTATGATACACCAACTAGCTTGCCTACTGCACTAGTACGTTAGAGTCTATCTCAGTGTCTAAACCCAAGTTTCTTTGGTGCTATAAGAACTCTCGAGTTCCCTAGCATCACACAAGCTCGTGTTATGACGACTCTGAGTTGAGGACTGGACTTTAGACTTACTCAAATGATTAAGTTGTCACATCATTGGGAGTTATTGAATGAAAAGTGACCAAGATGTAAAAATTAAACAAATCAAGACTACTCAAGCACCATACGTAAAATCTGGGTACTTTCCACCCCTACATCTTAAGGGACGTTTAGTTCATACTGGAAACGTATTGGAAGAAATCATTTCAAATGATTAGTTTAAATAAAAAGTAGCAGTGCCCACTATGAAAGGCACTGTATTACAGTACCAGAAATAAAATGTTGGAAAGTAAATACTGACTAAAAAATAAAATCTAAAATTAAGACTGAACTTATTATCTACTTTAGTTACTGGATCGATGCTTTTGCTATCAAAATACTAAGTTTTTCTCATTCTCTATCTGTTCATCTCTCTTAACG